CTTCCCACTTTTCTGTACATCGATTTCTGTGATTCTTCTCCAAGTTCCACGAGGTCTTCCCCTTGATCTCTTGCCCTGTGCGTTCCAATATATAACACCCCAAGTCATGAAATACCTCATCCCAAGTCATGGAATACCTCACCCCAAGTCATGGAATACCTCACCCCAAGTCATGAAATACCACACCCCATGTCATGAAATACCACAGCCCAAGTCAGTAAATATGTCACCTCAAGTTTTCCATAATGGCGTCTTGTTGTTTTTTTTATGCTGTTGTTGATGATGCTGTTGTTGCTGTTGTTGTTGTTGTTGTTGTTGTTGTTGTTGATGATGATGATGATGATGGTGTTGTGGGTGGTTGGCGGGTGCTCTGGTGTGGTTTGCTTCTTCTTTCCTATCAAACATCTATCGTCCTTATCTCCCCTTCTTCTTTTTTAAAATGTTTGTTACTCTCTTGTAACACCTCTAATCTTCTGGTGCTCATATGACCTTATTATGCAGTTGCGAGCACCGTAAAACCTCTACTCAAAAAAGATCATGTTGTTGTTGATGTTGTTGTTGTTGACGTTGTTGATGATGATGTTGTTGTTGTTGTTGATAATGTTGTTGTTGTTGTTGTTGTTGTTGCTGATGTTGATGATGATGTTGTTGATGTTGTTGTTGTTGCTGATGTTGATGATGATGTTGTTGATGATGTTTTTGATGTTGTTGTTGCTGATGTTTTTGATAATGATGATGTTGTTGTTGTTGTTGTTGTTGTTGATGTTGTTGATGACGATTTTGTTGTTGTAGTTGTTGTTGCTGATGTTGTTGATGATGATGTTGTCGTTGTTGTTGATGTTCTTGCTGTTGTTGATGATGTTGTTGTTGATGATGTTGTTGTTGTTGATGATGTTGTTGTTGTTGATGATGATGTTGTTGATAATGTTGTTTTTAATCCAGTGGCCTCTACGCATATGCCCTTCCACCTACTGCGATGTTTTTCAAACATGGACGCCTTTGACATTATTTTGTTCTTTGCCAGCACAGGGTATTGTTTGCGATAGGGACGGTAGGAAAAAGTTGATATCGGAGATCTTCCACAGTACCAATGAAGTGTCAAAGTAAAGCAAATCAAACTGACAAGTTATGTTCTCACTACAGTATAATAATATATCACCAAAATCTGTTATATATTTGGCAACTTGGAAACACATGTGTCACGTTTCCCATAAAACTAGGGCAGCTACAATGTTGAAAGTTGGCAAGTACCGGCAAAAAGATAGGTAGGTCCCCATGACGGAGCCCGGTTTTTGGTTTATTCATTTCCTGAATTTAGACAAATATATTTGACAAAAAGTTCCCGTCCTTATTTGGCCTTTGTGATTATTCTACTGAGAAACGAAACAAATCTGCCTAGCTGCCCTTCCAAAGAACATGTTGGTGTGTCTTATCTGATAAAACAATATGGCTTTTTATACCAAAAGGTTGTCTCTCAAGTTTACCTACATGAGTGCAACATGCGATGATATATAGAACTAGTGCCATGATGTTAGTGAATCGTCTGGTACATGTATCAGTCTATGACAGACATCACACTTAGTATCACTGGCTCCTGTGTTTTAACGTACTATATAGAACAACAAAACCAAAGAATCCCTTACTTTGCTGAAAGTAACAAGAATCCCCTACTTTGCTGAAAGTAACAAGAATCCCTTACTTTGCTGAAAGTAACAAGAATCCCTTACTTTGCTGAAAGTAATGGACACTGTATCGAAAGGTTGAGAGATATCCGAGGGGGGAACGTTGAGAGCCGTGGATGCGTTGAAGAGTCGAGCCCCGTCCAGATGAAGACTGATGTTGTGTTTCTTTGCCACCTCTTTGACCTGTACAGAGAGAGAGAGAGGGGGGAGAGAGAGG